CAGAGTATTGAGAGAGGTATATGACGTTATCAACAAAAAAAAGTAGTTTAAAAACTTTTAAAGGCTTACCATTACCAAAGAAGAATAAAAGCGGAAAAGAAAAGGAAGGGAAAAGAAAACAATTGAACATATGAGGCTTTTTTTTTGCAAGATTTATTAGGCCTGTCAATAGAGCGGCTATTGGGTCCAAGATCGTTTGAATTTGAAGGTGATGAGTGTTCCGTAGAAATTTTAGCCTTCTTAGCACACTGACTGCAACTCAGTTGAAGGCTTCAGAAATTGTTGGTAATGAACGGACAACAACTGTTTTTACTGGGCTTTTCATTGCTTATAATTCTATTCTTTTCGCTTACTTCCTTCTTTTTTTTTCTTTTCTTTTTAATATTTTGATTTTTTTGTTAATTTTTTTTTCTTGACGAGTAGAGGCAAAAATATGTTAGCTACCAAACGGACAGTATGAGAAATGTTTGCTTTGTATGTTCCGTTAGTTTTGCACTCAAAACCTGATCAGTTCCATATCGGATTTTGTTGTTGTTCTTTTTTTTTTCCTTTTATCACTAACCGCAAATTGTGTTTTTGGTTTGGATTGGCAAAGTTACATCATTAGGCGACAAAAAGAAAAAAAAAAAAGAAACAGTGACAGTGTTGATGACGATTAGGATGGAGACGATGATGATGATGATGATGATGATGGTGGTGATGCTGTTGCTTGCTGCTGCTACTGTTGCTGCTAATGTTGCTGATGATGACGGTGACGATGATGTTGGGTGATGCTGTTGATGATGACGACGCCTAACTGCAGCTCATAGCCATTATTTCTGTTTCAATCATTCCTCTATTTTTTTCCTCCATTTTTTTGTCTTCTTCTTCGTCTTGTTTTTTTTTTTCTGTCTTTGTTTTACCATGTAAACTAAGTGCAAATTTATTGTCCACAAATTGTCGGAGACAAAGATACTTTATTCTGTGCGCATTGCTCAAGTCTGATTGTTGTTTTTCAAGATGCTGAAGCGTTTTAAGTCGATCTCAATTGTTTGAAAATGGTTGAAAAGCTGAAAAGGACTTATTCCTGGCAAAAAAAAAAAAAAAAAAAAAAAAAAAAAAAA